CCCTAAACCCCCACCCTGCAATCGCACACTTTCTCCCTGCCAGCTGGGGCATAGCAAAGCTGAGGTGTTTTGACGGAGGTCTTGGTGGGAGTTGGACGGGACTCTGACGGGGGTTTTGGCGCAAGGCTCTGAGGTTTAGCGGGGGTGTTGACGGGGGTTGTGACGGAGGTTTTGACGGGGGTTTGGACGGGGCTCATTGTCAGTGAGGCCAAGATTCCGCCACCAGGGCTTGAGCCCGAGCCCCTCGGGTGAGAGCCAAGCATCCTAACCAGCTAGACTATATCGGATACTGCCAACTCGCTTTCACACCACAACTAGTGCCCCCTGAGGAGAAAGGTAAAGTTTGGACGGGGGTTTGACGGGGGTTTTGACGGGGGTTTGACGGAGGCTTTGACGGGGGTTTTGACGGGGGTTTTGACGGAGGTTTTGACGGGGGTTTTGAGCCGGAGGGTGTTGACGGGTGCTGTGGCGGAGGCTCTGACGGGTGTTTTGACGGGATTTTTGACGGAGGTTTTGACAGCGGAAGTTTTTTTTTACCCAGTGGGCGCAACCTTGCCAAAACGGGTCTTTTTGGCAGGTTCCGCCCATGGGGCACAACCTTGCGAAAACGGCTCTTTGGGGCAGGTTCCGCCCGGGCCGCACAGCTGCAAACCCTCCGTCAAAACCTCCGTCAAAACCCTCAAAACGCCGTCCGGGTTGAAACTGATCGTTCCCTGCCAGTAGATGACCAACCAGCCATTGTCAGTGAAAGATTCCGCCACCGGGGCTTGAGCCCGAGCCCCTCGGGTGAGAGCCAAGCATCCTAACCAGCTAGACTATAGCGGATACTGCCAACTGGCTTTCACACCACAACTAGAGTTGCCCCCTGGGGACAAAGGTAAAGTTTGGCCGGGGGTTTGACGGGGGTTTTGACGGAGGTTTTGGCGGGAGTTTTGACGGAGGTTTTGACGGGGGTTTTGATGAGGATTTGACGGGGGTTTTGACGGGGGTATTGATTGACGGAGGTTTTGACGGAGGTTTTGACGGAGGCTTTGACGGGGGTTTTGACGGAGGTTTTGACGGGGGTTTGACGGAGGTTTTGACGGAGGTTTTGACGGGGGTTTTGACGGAGGTTTTGACGGAGGTTTTGACGGAGGCTTTGACGGGGGTTTTGACGGGGGTTTTGACGCAGGTTTTGACGGGGCTTTGACGGAGGCTTTGACGGGGGTTTGACGGGGGTTTTGACGGACCCCAAACCAAGCCTAAACCGACCCTAAACCAACCCTAGACCGACCCTAAACCCACCCTAAACTGACCCTAAACCAAGCTAAACCAACCCTAGACCGACCCTAAACCAACCCTAAACCTACTCCAAACCAACCCTAAACCAAGCCTAAACCAACCGTAAACCAACCCTAAACCGACCCTAAACCCACCCTAAACTGACCCTAAACCAACCCTAAACCAACCCTAAACCAACCCTAAACCAACCCTAGACCGACCCTAAACCCACCCTAAACTGACCCTAAACCAAGCCTAAACCAAGCCTAAACCGACCCTAAACCAACCCTAAAGTAACCCTAAACCAACCCTAAACCAACCCTAAACCGACCCGAAAACAACCCTAAACCGAGCCTAAACCCACCCAAACCAACCCCAAACCAACCCTAAACGAACCCTAAACCGACCCTAAAAACCTGCTTAATCACCCTAACCGACCCTAAACCGGCCCTAAACCAACCCTAAACAACCTAACCAACCCTAACCGAACCTAAACCAGCAAACCAAGCCTAACCGACCCTAAACCGACCCTTAAACCGACCCTTACAGCACATCTAAACAAACCTAAAGCAACCTGAACCAACCCTAAAACCAACCCTAAGCCCGACCCCTAAACACCCTAAAAACCGACCCTAAACCAAGCCTAACAAGCTAAACCGACCCTACCGACCTAAAGGAACCCTAATACCAACCTAAACCACCCTAAACCGACCGAAACAAACCCTAAACGACCCTGAAGACCCTTAACCAACCCTAAACCAACCCTAAACCAACCTTTAAACCAACCTAGACGACACCAACCCAACCTAAACTGACCTAAACCAAGCCTAAACCAAGCCTAAACGAACCTTAACCGACCTAAGTAACCCTAAACCAACCCTAAACCGACCCGAAACCAACCCTAAACCGAGCCTAAACCCACCCAAACCAACCCCAAACCAACCCTAAACCAACCCTAAACCGACCCTAAACCAAGCCTAAACCCACCCTAAACCGACCCTAAACCGACCCTAAACCAAGCCTAAACCAAGCCTAAACCAAGCCTAAACCAAGCCTAAACCCACCCTAAACCAACCCTAGCCCGACCCTAAACCGACCCTAAAAGTAACCCTAAACCAACCCTAAACCCACCCTAAACCAACCTAAACCAACCCTAAACCAACCCTAAACCAACCCTAAACCAACCCTAGACCGACCCTGAACCCACCCTAAACTGACCCTAAACCAAGCTTAAACCAAGCCTAAACCGACCCTAAACTAACCCTAAACCAACCTTGGACCGACCCTAAACCCACCCTAACCAAGCCTAAACTAAGACTAAACCGAGCCTAAGCCAAACCTAAACCAACCCTAAACCAACCCCAAACCAAACCTAAACCAACCCTAAACCAAGCCTAAACCGACCCTAAACCAACCCTAAACCAACTCCACACCAACCCTAAACCAAGCCTAAACCGACCCTAAACCAACTCCAAACCAACCCTAAACCAAGCCTAAACCAACCGTAAACCAACCGTAAACCGACCCTAAACCAACCCTAAACCAAACCTAACCCAAACCCAAACCAACCCTAAACCAACCCTAAACCAACCTTGGACCGACCCTAAACCCACCCTAAACCCACCCTAAACCAAGCCTAAACCAACCCCAAACCAAACCTAAAACCAACCCCAAACCAAGCCTAAACCGACCCTAAACCAACCCTAAACCAACTCCAAACCAACCCTAAACACCCTAAACCGACCCTAAACCACCCTAAACCAAGCCTAAACCAAGCCTAAACCAAGCCTAAACCAAGCCTAAACCCTAAACCGACCCTAAACCGACCCTAAACCCACCCTAAACCAACCTAAACCAACCCTAAACAACAACCCTAAACCAACCCTAGACCGACCCTAAACCCACCCTAAACTGACCCTAAACCAAGCTTAAACCAAGCCTAAACCGACCCTAAACCGACCCTAAACTAACCCTAAACCAACCCTAAACCAACCCTAAACCAACCTTGGACCGACCCTAAAATCATCGATGAGTGCGCGGGTCGCGAGTACGTGATTCACGGGTCTAAGAGTATCCGATGACAGACGGCAGAACCGTATCCGATTGGACGGGCCAGTACGCAGCTGGCAGTTTTCTCCAGGCTCTCGGCATCTTCCGGCATTGGTGTTGCTCGAGCGGGTCTCAGGCGCCGGCCCCAACCTTGAATCGCAGCTCCAAAAGAATGGGAACGGCTGAGTCCTGCTGCACTCAATGACTCGACTCCACTCCATTCTGCATACATTCTGCGTATGTTCTGCGGTTTTCTGTGCCCAGCACAGCACAGCCCTTCCCAACCGCTCCGCCAGGAACTCCGGAAGAAGCTGATTGGAGTCTTCAGCTGAGAGGACTGCGTGCATGTTCACCCGCACGACCCTCGCAGCGCCGCGCAAGTCATGCGCCGGCATTGCTGTTGCGAGACCCTCTAAGTCGATGACCCCTTCCCTCGAATTGGCAACGATGAGCCGGGAACCACCTCCAAGTGCCCGATTGCCTTCGCCACGGGCCCCATGACAATTTCGTGTCTATGAATTTCCAAGGCAGCGACAGTGTTGGTCTGAAGCTTCTCCTTAGCGACTGCGCTTTCGCTTCAGAGCCCCAGCTTTCTCAAGGCGCCAGCGCCAGCAACTGCTCCGACCAAAACCCGCCCTGGCCTGGGAGAAGCAACTTCCGTGTCACCTGCCTAAAGCTCACCATGGGCCGCCATGTCTGAGATGCAGGCGTTGAAGACAAGATGTCCACCTCGTAGGGGTTGGGATTCCAGCAGTGCCTTGGAACCACGTGCTTGCCGCGCTTCCGTCATTCAAGGCCTGGCCACTCAGCTCTGGCAGCCTGGGGCAGGGACACGGTGATCTCCAGGTTAACTTTGATCTTCGCGCCGACCCACTGGGCACCCGCAGCACTAAACATGTCTCAACATGTCTCAACATGTCTCAACTGCCTGCTGTCCGAACTGAGAACCTGGAGTCAGCTGAGATCGGCGCACCAAAGCTTTTCAGCTCAGCTTCTTGGTGTCCGCAGGAGGTGGCCCGGTAGACAGGCGTGAACCTGGGGCTGGAGCCATTGGGCCGACTGCCGCTTGTGAGCTGTTTGTGAGCTGGCGACTGGATCCAAAGGCTCAGCTGCATCACACCCCAGCCTAGCTATGAAGGTTGACTGCGAAAACGTGCCTTGAATAGAGTTGTAAGAGTTAGCTAAACATGTCGGGCCCGCATATCATGGCTATGCCCATCACCCCGAAGAGCTTCCTCTTGTTGTCACCTGCAAGCCTGAATGCATTCGCAGGTACCTCAAAGCTGAAGCCTGGTCCTTTTCGCACTTTTTGCAGGCATGGTGGACTTGGCTTCTTGGCTGCTTGGCTTTGAGGGCCGGGCAGCTCACATTCCTTGCCGCCTTCATTTGGCTGGACGCCTTCGCAGAAATGCAGAATTCGAAAACCTGTGCGGCACAAAGCCGAGCCTGTCTTCCGAGTGGCGTCCAGCAGCCCCCACTGGGCCATGGAGATACGGCTGGCTGTGCGCTGTGCTGTGCTGTGTGTGACTCCGCATGGCGCTCGCGTGACTTGTGCAAACCTGCAATCAGAAGGTATCTGGGCGGAATTGCGCGCGGAACATGGGATCAGCTGAGCCAAAGCCACAGGTTTGAATGCAACTTGCACTCCGTGATGCTGCGACACTGCAATACTGCGTGAATCAGCACTACTGGGTTCGCTGTTGCTCGGTCTGGACTCCAGCCCACGATTCGCAGCGATATTTTGATGCACGTTTGCAGGGCACTTTGGCCTCCTGATTGAATGCAAATTCATCGAGCTAAGCCGATCTCGCAGCTAGGTGGCTTTGAGCTAGCATACGCATGAGCGCATTTGAGCGCGGTGGGCATTGGCACTGAATCCATGTGACACCTGCCACATCGTCTGCCTTGTATCTTGTCAAGGATGCGAGCAAAGGCTGTCAAGTTGAGCTGACCTGAGCTTGATTGATGCCGAACCGTTTTGCTCCTCACACCCTGGAAATTATGTTGGCACATGTGAAAAATGCAACACCTACATGCTCCCGCACCGGCAACTCTCATTGAGAAAAGCGACTGGAGCAAACTGTGGTGTTGGGGTTGTGGTTGCTGGCCTGGCCATAGCACCCGATGCCATGGCATACCTCGGCCAAGTTGGGGTGGCCAAGTGGTGGCGGTTCGCACCAGGTCTCAATGCTAACCTCCAACGGTTCGTTGAAATCGCTTGAACTCCCCCGACTCTCTCCGACGCTCCCCCCGGTGCTCTCCCCCCGATCTGCGACGGGCCATGCAGCCACGCAGCCGTTCCAGCGCGCTGGCCGCCTTGGCCCTCGGCTCCCTCGGCTCCTTCGGCTCCCTCGGGTCCTTCGGCTCCCTCGGGTCCTTCGGCTCCCTCGGGTCCTTCGGCTCCGGGCGCTTGTGGCCGCAGTGGCGGCAGAAGCGGGCCGCCAGCTTGTTGGGAGTGCCGCACTTGGGGCAGAAGAAGCCCGGAGCAACCTGACCGTGCAGTCCGAGCATCCGACATCTCAAACTTGGCAACTTGAGTCATTGAGAGCGGGTGGGGCAAAGCTCCTGTGACTGAGGCGAAGAAGGCTGTGGCGGTGTCGGAGCCAAGCACGCCTGGCAACAACAGCAGCTCCCCGAAATCGGAGGGCCAGTCACGGCCTGGGGGTCCAGATCAAGTCCTCAGCCAAAACAAATCCAGCTTTGATCGACTGGGGCTACGTAGTGCAGCTTGGGCACGTTCTGATGTGCCCCCAGGCCTTGTGGGAAGCCAATCCCGCCTTTCAATTTACAATCGGATCCTCAACCAAACAGTACAAACCCAATACTACACCCATACTCGACTCTCTACAAATCAGATGAACTCAGTCAAGCTTTTCGAGATGTGCGAGTTGCCTTGCGGCAGAGGTTTTCATTCTGCCCCAACTAGCTGAAACTGTAGGGGTTCTAACTTCCTAGAAGGGGATAGTGATTTGCGAGACTGATGGCTGGCGTACAGTTTGGGGTGTTGTGTAGGTACTGTTTGGGGCGCTGTTTGAGCTGGCAGTGACGGCGCGGGCGCATCTTTGAAGAATCGACGGCAGGGTGCTCGGTGCTAGAGCATGCAGTGTGGGTGCTTGCAGGTGCTGCGCTGCTTGAGTTGGGAGAGGAAACAAGCACTCAGAATACAACGTCCGAGTAAGAACTTTTAAAGGGAAGGGAGCCTTTCGATTTGCTAAAGAAGTGTTGCGAATGCAACCTCTGAGCAGACAAGTTTGAGCCAAAGTTTTGGTGGAGTTTCTTAACTCCGGAAAAATGTGGGAAGACTACGACGCTAAACCTCGGCGGAAGACCCCTGCAACATCACCCTGTGGAGCTCTGAGCCACAGCAGCACCCTGCAACAGCACTGTTGTTGCACAGCAACGGTCTTGGAACTGGCAGGTGCGATCTCCCTGAATTCTACTGTGGTTTGACTCGGTTTGCACTGGTGCTGTCAACATCCCCAGCATCGTTTTAACTCGGCAGCATCCTTTTCATCTTCCTTAGGCTGTGGCTAGGGTTTGTTCAGGGTGGCTTCTAGGCTGGCTTAGGGCAAGTTCGGGGGGTGGTTACGCTTTAGGTACTGGGATGGTTTAGTGCTGGCTTTTGTGGGGCTGATTTAGGGTGGGTTTAAGGCTGGTTTCGGGTGGGCCCAACACTGCGGGGGTGCTACAAAGAACGCAAGATTGGGTGCCAACCCGGTTTAGGCTGTGTTCATAGGTGTCCTTTTAAGGGAAACGGATGGCCCTGGTAGATGATTAAACCACCAGGTAAACCAGGGCCATCTATTTTTCTAGCAAAACAACCAAAAAGGAGACCTGTGGCTGTGTTTAGGTGAGCTTAGGCTGGTTTAGGATCAGGGTGGCTTTGGGATGGTTTAGTGTTGGTTTGGTTTGTTTGGGGGGTTGGTGGGGTTTGCTTTGGATTTGCTACGGTCGGTGTAGGGTGGGCTTAGAGCGGGCTTAGTCTTTGTTTAGGATTAATTTTGGGGTTGCTTTGGGATGGGCTTAGTGGGGGTTAGGCTTGGGGTAGGGTTTGCTTAGGCGGGTGGTTTAAGGTGGGCTTCTTAGAGATGGTTTTGTGCTTGTTTAGTGCGGACTTAGGGTTGGTTTCGGGTGGGGTTTGGGTTGTTTCAGGATTGGCTTCGGGTGGTTGGGGGTGTAGGGTTGGTTTAGAATTGGCTTAGGGATAGTCTATTGCTGGTTTAGAGTGGGTTTGTCTATTAAGGAATTTTGCAGGCTTAAGGTTTCTTTAAGGTTTCTTTAGGGTTTGGTTTCAAGGTTGGTTCTAGTTTTAGTGGCGGTTTAGGGTGTTGTTGTTGCTAAAACGTGGGTTTAGGGTGGGCGTTGGATTCATTGCGGTTCGTTCAGGGTTTTAGGTTTGCCTCTTGAGGTCATCACAACGCCAAACAACGGCCCTATAAAGAAGCAGGGAGTTCCCAGCACGAGGTCTTTCTCAGAAGTTGTATTATCAGCTTGCCTTGCGGGAGAGGTTTTTTCCCAAATAGTTGAAAGCTATAGAGTTCTAACTTCAAGCAAAGTGGTGGTGGGTGAGACTCAGAATTTCGGTCAGGTGCTGTTGCAGGGCTGCTGCAGAGTGCTGCAGCTGCTGTAGGCTGCTGTTGCGCAGGGTGCTGCCGCTGCACGAGGCTCAGAATTATATATAGGGCTATTTGCTTGGAAAGCTTCCCGTTCTTCTCCAGGAATTCTCCTGGACTGCAATTACCTTGCTTAATACATTTGGCTTCTTAGCTTCTTGGCTTTTTGGTTTCTTGGCTTCTTTGTTGTTTGGCTTTGGCTTTTTGGCTTTGAGGGAGGCCTGAAAAATAAACCTCTCCCGCTCAGGCGGGCCCTGAAAAGCACATCTGGGGAGCTTGGCCGAGTTCATCTGGTTTCCGGAGAGCTTAGTATTGGTTTAGTGCTGAGAAACTGACAATTTGCATTGTAAATCGGAGAAAGGATTTGCTTCACAGAATCAAAGCGACAGCCATGGGACATCATGGGACATGAGCTGCGGTCAAAATTGCTTGCCTCCCGATTAGGACAGGGAACAAATCGTGAGTCCGCGAGTGTCTGACTGGAAACTTTGTCACTTGGTACTTGGCTTGGAGTGCCTGCCCTCCCCATCCGTCCAAGGCTTGAGCGCAGCCACGGGTGGAACTCAGCGACTCAAGGGAAAACGCGCCACGCCAAGCTTCGCGCTTACATCTCCGGCCTGCCCAGGATGCCAAGGATATACCCTTCGGGCGAGGGCCTCGCGGACAAAACGGAAGAATCGAACGCTAACGTGCCAGCCCGCCTCCAAGTGAAATGTGCGGCCCAGCAGCCTCTCCCACGGATACCCGTGCCGGGCCTCGCACAAGAAGCAAACAAGTCAAGCTTATGCCATTAGCTGCGCCTTGTGCTTGGGCTGCCAAGGGCGCCGGGCCTTGCACAAGAAGCGAACAGCTCAAGCTAGTCAAATCAACTGAAGCTTAGCATGCCATTAGCTGCTCCTTGTGCTTGAGCTGCCAAGGGCGCCGGGCCTTGCACAAGAAGCGAACAGCTCAAGCTAGCATGTTGTTAGCTGTGCCTTGTGTTTGGGCTGTCAAGGGCTCCGGGCCTTGCACAAGAGGCGAACAGCTCAAGCTAGCATGTTGTTAGCTGTGCCTTGTGTTTGGGCTGTCAACGGCTCTGGGCCTTGCACAAGAAGCGAAACAGCTCAAGCTAATCAAATCAACTGAAGCTTAGCATGCTATTAGCTGCTCCTTGTGCTTGAGCTGCCAAGGGCGCCGGGCCTTGCACAAGAAGCGAACAGCTCAAGCTAGCATGTTGTTAGCTGTGCCTTGTGTTTGGGCTGTCAAGGGCTCCGGGCCTTGCACAAGAGGCGAACAGCTCAAGCTAGCATGTTGTTAGCTGTGCCTTGTGTTTGGGCTGTCAACGGCTCTGGGCCTTGCACAAGAAGCGAAACAGCTCAAGCTAATCAAATCAACTGAAGCTTAGCATGCTATTAGCTGCTCCTTGTGCTTGAGCTGCCAAGGGCGCCGGGCCTTGCACAAGAAGCGAACAGCTCAAGCTAGCATGTTGTTAGCTGTGCCTTGTGTTTGGGCTGTCAAGGGCTCCGGGCCTTGCACAAGAGGCGAACAGCTCAAGCTAGCATGTTGTTAGCTGTGCCTTGTGTTTGGGCTGTCAAGGGCGCCGGGCCTTGCACAAGAAGCGAACAGCTCAAGCTTAGCATGCCGTTCGCTGCGCCTTGCGCTTGGGCGGCCTTGCGCCAGTGCAGCCTGACGCGTAGAAGCAACAAAGTGCCACCCGACCCATAGGCTTAACTCAGCAGCGGGCAAAATGCAAGACACATCGTCGCTGCATCCATCTGCTGCCTAGCGTGGGCGCAAATTTCGCAAATTTGAAGTATCTGCCGTCACCCGCGAGGCAAATCGATGCTTCGCCTGTGACCACTTGGACTGCACCTCCTCGCTAAACTGGCTTGCCGCAAGACAGGCGCCTCACTCGACATGGATTCAAACCGAAGGCCCCCAAAAACCAAAGGGCTGGGTGCCCTGCCGCACTCTTGGAGGCGGCAAGGCCCCAGCAACAGTTGCAAGGCTTCAGAGCCAGGCCTCAATGACTCATGCAGATCTGTTCCATTCTGAACATTCGCTAAGTCTTCCTTCCCGTTTGGGTTTGCAGGCAGCTTTGTAGTGCCCCATCTCAACGCTGGTAGGAGCGATGGCAGTGCCGGGGACCGCACCCAGCCCGATCGTCCAAAATCTCCCACAGACCACCAGACCCCAGCATCACCAAGCCAGGAGTCCTCACAAAGGCATGTTGGGCCGTGCTGGGCTGGAGTCGCAGAATAGTCTAAGCCCACCGCCTCGCAAACGACATTTTGCAGATGTGCGGCTGCCAAGAGATGCCGAGAGCCTGCCAAAGTGAGGCCCACAAAACGAAGCCGTGCATTGCAACGCAGACATCCAACCATTGGCTCTGCATGGCCGGTGCTGGGGGATTTGCGCCCGCCTGGCCAGAGGTGTCTCCAAGCGCTCGGGTGGCAAAAAGCCCAGGGGTGCGCTCGCCCTGGCAGAGACTTTGCGCAGGGGTAGCAAGGTGGAAAGGTGGCAAGCATCGCTCCACTGCACCCCTTCCCACATTGCTGGGCAGGCTGGAGTGAAGATGCGGACCTTGGGCAGGTTAGGTCTGAATTTTCTGGACAAGGTCTGCAGAACTGCGTCCATGACATGGCCCGAGTTCGGTGGAACCTGCATCCATGGAAACAGCTGGCAAGCACGGTACTGACAGTACTGACATTGCTGCCTCACTATGCCTTACTGCGAAGGCAACGGGCAACAAAGGGCCAGAAATGGCCTGGATGAGCTTGGCCCCGGCATTCCGAACACGTTGCATTTCCTTCACGTCCTGAACGACTCGAACGACTCGAGCACAAGCAAGCACCAAGCAAGCACAAATGGACCAAGTCTCCTCGGTGTTGTGGGGCGTAGTTACCTGACGATGGAAATCTGTCCAAATCTCGCCGAGCACATAGCTGCACTGTAAGCACAAGGCCAAGTCCACCTTAGCCGTCTCGGAGACCTCATGCAAGGCGAGGGAATTGCGAATTCCAGCCTCAACCCCGAATCTCAAACCCAGCTTAGGCCCAACCCTGCTTGCCGTGGCAAAACAAAAGCAACATATTGTTTCTTGATATCTTTGCCTGCAGGTGCCATGTGCCATCCCATTCATATTCCTCCATATTCACCCCCAGGCCCGGTCAGGCTACTTGCCAAACCGCCTGAATAGCCTCTAACTCTCCTGGGCCCTTGCAGTCGCCACCATTGCACGTGAGTCGCCCAGCCACGCCTCAGACCGTGCAACTGAATGCAGCAGCCCGGGAAACCGATCGTTGCCGCCATCCGAGGTACGCACCACCTGCACCTCGGAGCCTTGGCGCAAGGCGACGCTGCAAGTGCACCCAGACCTTGGCGCGCTGGTCAGCCCATGTCAGACCTTCCCACAGGCCCAGCCTTTAGACGCAAAGTTCAGATAAAACATAAGAAACAATAAGAAACCATTGAGTCACTTAATTCGTGAATCAGAGGCTTCTTGCCGAGCCCGCACAGAGCTGGGAGCCCCTGCGAAGAGATATCGATGGCTTCGGCTTCCGCCCAGGTGACCAGGTCTGCGCTGGCGCCCCGAAAGGCCAACACCTGGAGCTTTGGGCACACGGACCATGGCGCCCGTCCGCAAGACATAAAGCATAGCAGGCTCCATTCATCTGATACGCGATTGTTATATACTGGTTATATGTGATCTTATGTTATTATATAGTATTACTTAGCCCTGGCCCGAGCACCTCCCGGCGGTCGGGCTGGTTGACAGCAGAGTCTCGGGAGATGAGTGCCATGGACCCGGCTCTGGGTGTGCTCACCCTTCCGTTGCGGGTGAGCCTGGTCGCCCAGGTGATCAAGCAGGAGCCCGACCTCGGGGGCACGCTGATGGAGGGCATCAATGCTCGGCAGCACTTCGTGGTGATCACCTCCATCAAGGAGACTGGGCTGGTCACGCTCTTCAATGCGGAGCTCACTGCTGCAGTACCCCAACCTCGGCTTCTACTCGATGGTCGATCGGGATGGGCTGGACACCTCAAGCCCACCTTCGGGGACTTCTTCCAGCTCAAAGAACTATGCGCCGGCATCGGTGGCTTCTCCCAAGGTGCCAACTTCGTCGGGATCAAGACGGTGGCCTGCCTCGACCACAGTGCCCTGGCCTGTGCTGCTCTTCGTCTTCAAGGACACTACACCATCCATTCCAACATTGAAGACCAGCAGGCACTCCTGCAGCTCCATGCGGCCGGAAACGCACGGCCATGCCCAGTCTCTGCGGGCTTCCCTTGTCAACCCTACAGTGCGCAGGGAGACCAACGAGGGCTGCAAGACTCAAGGGGAAATACCTGAAGGCCTCTTGGCTACTCCAATCGGTTGGCCTCATCCTGGAATGCATCCACAACGTCAAGGAGCACCCAGATGTCATGCTACTTCTTCAAGAATGCCCAAGGGCGCGATTGGCAGATCCACGCCACCTGGACCTTCAGGACCAATGGGCCAGTCGTCGGAAGAGATGGTGGTGCATCATGCTCCCCAACGACGACCGTATCCCCTTTCGCCTGCTCCCCTGGCCTGCCAGCAACCCATTCCCGAACGTCGGCTCCGTCATCCAGGAATGGCCATTTTTGCCAGACGAAGATGAAGACAATCTAGCCTGGACACTGGTGGAGGAGGAGGCTAAATACGGCAACCCCGACTACGGCAGAGATCTTCGGCATCTCAACCTGGCAGCTCCGGCTCCCACGGCCCTACACTCATGGGGGACAGCCCTGCAGACTTGCCCATGCGGATGTCGGACCGGACCTTGGCGGACCACCGCCTGCGACGACACGGACTCCGTGGCTTTGCCATCCTCTCCATGAGCACTTCAAGAAGCGCTTCATTCATCCCAAGGAAGCCGGATTCCTGAACAATGCCTTCGGCACCACTACCTCACCCAGCACGTCACGCACTCTGCCTGGTCGGCCAAATTGCGGCCCCTCTGCAGGCAGTTTGGGTCTTCGCACATGTGGTCAACTGGATCGTCCAGATCTACGCGAAGCGCCCAGGCCGCTCAGCACTTGGCTACGTCCATGAATACCAACACAAGCTCCTCCGGGATCGCCTGCTACACTGGATCACTCCATCCATTCCGCTCGCGCACCTTGACACTCAAGGAGGAGGGAGAGCCGGACGCCCTGGTCTCCCTCAAAAGCCCTGCTTCGCTCGCACAGATCAAACCTGCAGAAACGGCACTTCAAGGTTGGGGAGCTGCAGTACATGTTCACCCCTCGGGCCACATCCAATCCGACCAGGAGCTCATCGCCAGTGCCACAGACCGGCTGTACTGTCAAATCAACAGGCAGAGAAAAAGGCAAGCCATTGCCTTCCCAGTGACTACGGACAAGCGCCCTCTTCGAGCGGCCGGCCCTGAAACCGCAGGACTCACCTGGGATGAAACGGCAGTGCTCTACAACCTCCACGAGATCCTCAACTATGCTGCGTGTATCGACCCACGCCCTTGGGGAGTGATCACCCCAGCCGAAGCACATGAGCTTCTCCATGCAACAACGCGAACTTTGCCCAACGAGCTGCAGTTGATCGACCGGGTCGTCATCATCTTTCCGTACAACAACCACTGGACGCTCCTCACGCTCGAGCCTTTGGAAGACCACACCCAGGCCATTTGCTGGGATGCTCCTGCTACTCCCAACCAACAAGCTTCACACGACCTCGCCTTGGACATTTGCCTGTTGATTGGCTGGCCCTCCCCGCACATCCAGCACAAGCACATCTGTTGTCCACTTTGGGCGGCACGGGCGCATCAAGCAATGGCACTTGGCTTTCGCGGGCAGCAGTCCAATCCAGAGCCGACACCGCCATTGCCAAACTTGGCATTGGATCCATCCAGACTGCCCTCAAGGACAAGAACAACTGGCAGGCTCTCAAGGCTCTTGCCTCTCGGCCGGCTTCCAGGTTCAGATGGATCGACTACAACGAACTCCAAGGCCACATCGCGGAACGCGCCAACTCCAAGTTCGGCACCAACATCCCCAATGCGAAAAATAAAAAGCTCAAGGGGCAAAGCCACGCTGGCCGAGCTCTCTCTCTCCAAGTTGACCCCAACCATCTCGTCATCCTGGAGGGCATCTTTGCCGATGATGAGGACAACCCTGTTGCCCAGATCGCGTTCTCCGACATAGGCTGCAACAAAAGAGGATTCGCGCTCACCACGGTTGAGGACGCCATGCGCTTCATCAAGGACGCGCAGAGCATCTCCACGGAAGCCCTCGCGTTGATCACCACAGCCGAACTCCCACACCACCAGCAGACCGAGACCATTCGCTTCCCCGCAGTCTACACCGGTACCAATGAGCCTATTCTCCTCACAGGCAGCCTGCTCCAGATCGGGGACGTCCTAGTCAAGAGAGTCACAAAGACTGCCGAGCCCCTCGAAGACGAGATCGATACTTCCACACTGCGAGTCTCTGTCTTCGCGGATGAATATCCACAGGACTGGAGCCTCTTCATCAAGGCACCGATCAAAACCATCATTCGGAACACCCCTCTCCTCCTGAAGTGTACCGACGACTCCTGCAAAAACAAGTGCACCCGCTTTCATCCGGCCGTTGATGAAGCTGTCGACAAGGTTATATCCAGAATCGAGCACTGTGTTCTTTTCCATGCCCACATTCGCGTCCCTCTTTCCGCAGCTCCACTACTGCAGGCCACCTCCGGATCCAACGGCGTCTACTTTGACCCGCGCTCCAAAGACGGCAAGTCCATCGACCCAAACCACACAGTCATTTGGCTGCCAGGCGCCAGCTGTCAGGAAGCCAAGCACAAATCCCGAACCAGCGACCATGCCATCGCGATCACTCGCCTTGGTGGCAAGTACGGGATCCGGGTTCGCGAGCAGGACGAGAAAGCCGCATGGGCTTACCTTCGTCCCGGGCACGACTATATCCAGGTGAAGATCACGGGCGTGTTCCGGCCATTTCCTCTCCCTCACGGAGTACAACGCACGGGAGTAGCCCAACTTCTCAAGCAGTGGCAATGGCTCTCCAATCCTGCAGGGGCTCCGCTGAAGGAGCAGCCTGGGAAGTCGGCGCTTCAGCCGAACCCCCAGCGTGGGTTCATGGTCTGGAATCATGATGATCTCCGACTTTCCGGCCCAAGGCGCATTCGAAACTGGGCGTGTCGCTACAGGCCGACACATGATAGATGACCTGCCAATCACCTCCGCCGTCGTGTACGGCTTCGCACAAGGCCCGACCTACCCCAACGCCAAAACACTCACAGACCAACTTCTTTCCACCGTCACCAAGGAAGTGGTCCTCGGCATGCAGGGAGTGCGGATCATCGCCGGAAATCGCCATCTGGCGGCAACATGGCTGGCAAGAGGCCCAACAGCTGGCCCGCTCCCTCTGGCAACAGACACCAGGCAGCCCAGTTCGTCTTCCTCATGAACCACCAGCTCATCAGCAAGCTGTCCTCATCTTCCAAGACTTCAGGACAAACTACCGTAAATTCGAAGCCTGGCACGCCAACAAGCGGAAGCAGGCCATCAACCTCAAATTTGAGGAGTCCAACGGCGTCCTTTACAACTTCATCAAAGAGGACAAGGCGCCCCCCATCGACACGCTTGCCATCGCTCGGGACTATACCATTTTGGCTGTGGACCCCAGCAACAGTTTTGTACACTTAGACAAGGCTATCTACGCCAAAGGCAGCTCCACCTGGTCTCTTCATGCAGAACCAGCTCATGCACAGTTGGAGACTGCCGATGTTGCACAAGTTGACAGTGACCGGCTCCTCTGCCCAGGAGATACCCTGGAACAGAATGCATCCGTCACCCACATCGACGACATCCACCAAGAGCTCCTCGAACTCTGGTCATCCCGTTAAAATACCACTACGCGACTATCCGAGGACGAATTCCAACGCATCGCCAACTTCATCCATGCCTTCATCCCACGTGGACACTTCCCGTGCGAGCCCATACGATTGGGACATCGCGCTCAAGAAGTACCGACCACATACTGCTAAAGGTCCTGATGCCTTCGCGCTCAACGATCTGCGCAACATGCAATCATGCACCCCTCCCACAAGGAGAACCTCATCGGATGGCTCAACAAGCTCGAAGCTGGCCAATCAACCTCACCAGCGCAAGTCCTTCAGGGCACCATCACCCCAGTTGCAAAGTCAACCAACTCGAAGGCCGACAGCTACCGGCCAATGAGGTCTACAGCCTCGTTTACAGGACGTGGGATGCCGTCAGGGCCAAAACCATACTGAAATCCATCAGCTACCTCCTCAGCGACACTGCCTATGGGTTCATGCCCGGCAGTATGTCTTCGCGCTTCAGAGCTCAGCGCGCAAGCTGACCACGCCTCCGAAAAAGTCTGTGGTTTTGCGGCCGACCTCAAGAGATGTTTCAACAACCTGCGCAGAGAGCCTATCACGCTCATTGCCCAGGCGCTAGGCGTCTCCAACCGGGTCCTCAAACCAGTTGGGCTTCCTCTACGGCAACCAGCGCAGGTTCACCGTCCGTGGGCACCTCTCCGAGCCGGTCCAATCATCAGCTTAGTGTCGCCGCCATGACCATGATCGACCTCAGCTTTCACCTTTACATGAAAGCCTTTTGCCCTTCGGCTACGGGCTACAGCTTCGTCGACAACCTCGCGCGACTGCCACCTCCACGGAGGCTTTGGCCAGAGGCTGGTGTACAATGGAGGCCTTCTGCTCACTCTGGGCATCAGCTCCTCGAGACTGCAAGGCCCTTGAGCTCTTCCCATGTCGGGCGGTGCGAGCTGCCAGAGACCTGAGGAACACTACTCTCGCGTGGTTGAACGATGCCGTGGTCTGGCAGGCAGATGGAACACCCTCAAGCGAGCCCCTGGCTCACTGGATAACAAGGCTCGCACGTTGTGGAACTGCTTCTGGCCACGGGCACTACACGGAATAGTCACATGCAGACTTGGGGAGCAGCACATCAAACAGCTCCGTTCGGCGGCACTCCAACTCAAATGTGCAGGGGGCAACCCCATCCTGCGCCTCACGCTCGAGTTCCAATGCCTGGCCGATCCAGGCTACTACCAGATTGCAACGACACTCAGAGACTTCAGGTGCCTCTGTAGCAAGCAGCCTGCGCATGCAATGAGTGGGCACACTTTATGCGCCAATATGATGGTCGCCTTTTACCAGGTCCCTTCTCCAAGCTGATTGAGGTCTGCAACTCCCTGGGATGGTCCATCATCAACGTGCCACTCATCCAGGACCATGATGGAGTCAACTTCAACATGCTTACGTGTGCCCCCAATGAATTGGAAATTCGCCTCAACGACGCTTGGGCCCAGCACATTGCAAGCCAAGTCCAACACCGCAAGTCCATGACTGGCCTACGTGGCTTAGACCTTGCATGTACTACCAGACGGCGTTCCAAGTACAACTCCTTGCAGGCGCGATTGCAGCAATTTGGGATCTTTTCGAGCTGCTTACTTTCGAAGTACGACCTGACTAAGGACTCCCTATGCCCCCGATTCCATGAGCCGGACGACTACCGACATCAAGTGGCAGTCTGTCCACGCTTCCACTCATGTCGAGCGAAAGACCAATGCGCAGCGGACCTTTGGGACACTTCCTGAATGTGTCAGTCAGCACCTCTTGACCCAAGAAACCCCATGCTGGTAGAAATCAAAAAAACCCTCGACGACTTCCCTGACCGGCCGGTCCACAGAGTTCCACCTCTTGCCCAACGACCAGGACGTGCTCCTGTTTCGGCCACGCAGACCCACATCTTGCAATAGCAGCTTGGGGCGCAATTTTGCCGGACAGAGGTTGCCTGGCCGCCGGACCCCTCATAGGATTGTTCAATCGGTCAACCGTGCAGAGCTCACAGCAGTTATAGCAACGCTCCGCTGGTCGAATCTTCACAGATGCAACACATGCATCTGGACGGACTCACAATACGTTTCTGACGGAGCCAACACACTGCTTCGGGACCCTGCCGAAGCCATACCCAGCGAGAATGCGGACCTTTGGACAATTGTCGCCAACCTCATCAAGATTGCAGTTCCGGGCTCTATCCGAGTGCGATGGATTCCTTCCCACTTGAACGAAGCGGCCTGCGAATCTCCTTTCAAGGAATGGGCAGCACGAGGCAACAACCAGGCGGATGGTGCAGCAGCTGCAGCAAACAAGAACAGACCAGCAGCTTTCGTTGAGCTACATGGCCGCGCTATTCAGTATTACAACCGCTGGGCGGAAATCTGTGATGCTCTTGAGCGAATATATCTTCGTATTGCCAACCTTACAGGTACGCATGTTGATGAATCCGCTCAGGAACATGAGGACCCCCCGGAGGCCACCCTGGACACCCACGCTGTGGCATAGCAGATGCAATTCATGGGCAGATTTTCTGCCCAAGGACTGGGACTTTTTCGGGGCATCCAAATTGCCAGAACTGCCCTTCGGGTTTGTGAAGCAGTTCCTCAACTGGATCCTCAGACTGGACGAGCAGAGTGCCGACAGCACAGACGTCAGCTTTCTTGAATTAGTTTTGCATTACCCGCAAGGTAGTGGCCAGGCTTTTCCAACCGCCACACCCGATGGCAGGCTTCAGGTTGCACATGCGACCACCTTCGCCCGGCCCACCGTTGCCTTCCAGCTGCGCATTGCAGCACGGGTGCTTCAGACCTTCGGGCGCCACTTTGCCTTGGTGGGTTTTTTGACCAGTGCGATTGGTTCTCTTGTTGGTTTTGGGGTTCACCCACCTCAGAGGGGCGTGCGAATAGGATGTGGGATTGACACCCTCCGTGCCATGCGTTCCTGCGTGGCATCTTTTACAGCGGCCCGACCAATCAGGGTCGCGGCCGATTTAGCTAGGCCGGCTTGAGGCCTGACCGGACCGCCCACTGCACCGCGCTGCTGTGCATGGGCGATTGCGCAAGTGAGAGTATTACTTGTGACACATAATATGATGCTATCATATACTATTCTGCTATTATTGTCATTCGGTGCAAGTTCAGCCCGTGCCGGCCGCAAGGGGTGTTCAAGTTGAACAGCAAACAGTGATTCGGGTACTGAAGCTGCAACATGCGGGAGCCAACCAGTGCAGCTGCCAGTTTCGATTGACAGCAGGGAAACATTGCGTTGAGCGTGTGCTCTGCTCGAGGCATACCAGTGCTGACACCAGACCTAGGTCAAAGGCATAACCCGCATGTGCTGTGGCATTGCTTGCGATGGCAGCCAAGTATTGACCGCGCTTCACTTCAGCAGCAGCCGTTGGCTGACATGTTGTTGTGCTTTTGAATCATTGCAAGTGGTTCTCCAATGTGCGAGGGCACATTGCGTGGCTCATCCATCCAGCATCTCTCCTGCCTAGCTGTCTAACGAGCCCCTCGCGACGTTGCGTGCGTTGCTTCGACGGAGCGGCTGGCACCTCCCAGCCCCTTCGGAGCCCCACCGTCTGAGGCTGTGGCCAGGGCTTCCGGCTCAGCGGTCCCAAGGCGCTGCCAGCAGTGTGGCAAGCTTTGCCTGGGGAAACCACCCGAAACGACCCGAACTTCCGAGCGGGGAACCATCTCTGATAGGACCGGCGATGACATAAGATGGACATAAGTTACATGTCAGCTCTGCGCTACCCTGAAGGCCGCCAGCTGGCCAAAGGGGCCGTGCCCATCGCCTTTCGACTTCAAGGCGAGCTGACGCATCGGCATGATTCGACATTTCATTGCGGAGAACCGAGGCCGGCACAAACAACGTAGAGAACCTCGCTCGCGAACTTTGTCAGGCTGTAGCAATCCTGAAAAAAGGGAAGCATCGCCGGACGGCAAACCAGCCCATGTCCTGGCAGGGAAGCGGGTCCATGCCTCAGCCGAAGTTGAATCATGCGGGTGTGCCTCTTTTTCAGGATTCCATTTGTTTTGCGGATTTCAAAGGGAAACCAACACTATTTTTGGGGGGGGTCTCTGCAAAGAATGACACACCCATATTCTGGGGCCTTGTCGCATCTCGTTTCTCTCTTTAAGGCTCTGACTGCCGCGCTTGCCCTTTCGGCTGGAGATCCCGACCTCGGTGCTGTGCGTCAGAACATGTTGAGTCTCAGACCGCTGAGTTGTTGACGCAAATGTCCGGCCCTTGGAATGGCTCCAGCCACTCATTGTCTCTTGGCACCTCCATGTAGCATTGCGCCACAGATCCAAACATCGTCCATCCGCGCAAGCCATTCAGCTTTCACGTTCGCACACTCTTTTTGACTAACTCGCGAACTCATCTGCAGCATTCACTCCGGGGCTCTTCCCCGGCCTCGCTTTCATGCCCGGGCCGCCCTTGCCACCCTTGCCACCCTTGCCACTCTTGCCACCCTTTCCGCCCTTGCCTTTGCCCTCGCCTTTGCCTCGCTTCTTGCCCCCCTTTTGCCTTTCAGCTCTTGCTTTGCCCTTCTTCAACGCTTCGGGCTCAGCTGTGCGCTCATACCTTAGCTTCACGCTCCAGAACTGACATCTTGCTCTCATTTTCACAGCGATGTCGTGTATCCCGAGCCTGCCTAGTCCCACCCGCAACGGCAAACACCTTCCAACCGCACCAAACAGGACCCAAAACAACAGACATCCAAGCACCCGCCCAAGTCCACGGTTTTGGACGGGGTTCAGACGGTTTCGGTCTGAGGCGCCTATCCTTCTTCACCACGTCCCGGGGCGCCTCGCGGAGAGCGAAGCTTGTGGCCAGGTGCCCTAGGTGCAACTGGCTGAAGGGGAAGCAGGACCGCAGCTCCCGGGGGAAGGACCGGTACGCCTGGGAGCCGCTTTTCAACATAACCCGATATGATGCATTATGATGCATGCAACTTATGCAAGCGCCCAACCCTCAGCCTCAGCCCAAACACTTGTTTCCATTGCGGCTGAAGCTCCTTCAGCGATGCCAGGAAGCCCGATCGGGCGCGGGAGGCCAGCGGCGCTTGGGCTGCCACGCGGCTTGCCAGGTGTCCCGCAATCAGGCCCTGCCGTGTCCCGGATACTGCAGGAAAGTGTTTGGACCCCGTCCCTTCCAAGCAGCATTTCATGGCACGACTTTCCCACACACACACACACACTTAGACTCCAGATGGAGGGTTCTAATCTTTCAAGTACAACTGGTAAGTCTCGGCTTGGATAAGGTTCTACATGAATAAGTTTCGGCTCGCAATGCACTCGGTTTCCCTCAAGGTTCAACATGAAGCACACACAGCGAGAGAAACAACGGGCCAAAAAGACTTTGCACAACCATTGCAGGTACACAGCTGGACGTCTCCAACTGCTTCACCAGGGTCACGAGAGTGTCTTCGTTGGTGGCAGACTCTCGGCCCTGCTGCCACCCCCTGCAGTGGGAAAAAGTTATTGTATGGTGGCAGGGTTTTCTGCAACTCCGCACACACACACACACACACGCCCCTCAGTGAGGGGCGAAAGTCTTTTGTTCCAGCCGGAAGATCACGCAATTGGCTCATCAATTCTAACGTCTACCAAAATATCCACTGCGTCGGGGAGAGCGCGAAACTGCACGCTCCGCACGAGGCCGCTCAGAAGACGGGGACGAAAGATCTCCAAGATGAGCAAGACGTGTGCCGCCATAGAAGACAGGCGGAAGCTGCAAAGCTGTCGGGCGATCACCGTCAGAAATGGGAGGTGAACATCTCTTCGACCCGGTTGATGTCCGGATGTTGTACATCAGCAAGTGATGGATCAGGGTCATGATGGGTGGAGAAGGACTCCAAGCGAGACAGAATCCGTTGATAACCTTGATGTTGCCAGTCACGAAGTCAACATGCTCAGTTACCCGTTTCCACTCCCGAAACGAGTTCTCAGGTAGGGCGGGTACTGCCTCATCTGGGTGCCACAGTTGAAGTTGACCCGGAGTGTAGATCCGCACCCACTCCTGGTCCTGCCAGACGGAGTATTCGAGCCAAGGGTGCTGCTCGTCAGATCATCTGTGTCCATGCTGAAGTAAAGGACAGGGCGTACCGCAGGCTCTGATCCAGCTGGCGAGGAAACAGTCACAATGCACAACCATGCACAACCGGCCAACACACAAGTAAGCAAGAGCAAAGGTGACACTCTTTCATGTCATGATCAAGATGCATCGGTTTATACGTCACCTAGCTCGAAGATGGGCTGCGCCTTGTTGGTAGAGCTGCCTGGTTGACCCGCAGGTGTATTTAGATCAGCGACCCCAATCGATTCGGGTGGTGCAACTCCACGAGATACATGTGCTGGATGGTGGGACGCTTGACGCGCGCGTTCTGACAGTTGCTGACAGATCCCAGCCTGAAGACGAGTAAGATCTTCAACAGAGAATTCAGAAGCATCCGAAGACCGGAGAATCGCACTCAACATCTGCGGTGTCATACTCAGAGCCGAAGATTGCGTGGCCACGCTATGTTGATGAGGAAACATCGAATTGAAGTCTTGAACAGCTTCAGGAGCAGCAACACGCCGGTAGCCCTCAGTGGTCCAGTCCCTCTTGTACCAAGTGCGCCTGGTGGGCTGGTCTTCGTCATGAGCCAGGTTTGGGGCATAGAACTCCTTCCACTCCCTGTATGTGTGGCGCGGAGGCGGATCATCGCGTTCATCTTGTGGTGTCCATGATCCCGGATGAAAAATCTTGACCGATTGAGCGTCCGGTTGTTGAGGATCAGGGCACCACTCCAACCACGACATGACAACTCAAGCACCTAACTGCACAACCGAGAAGAACACGGCTGCAGGCAACGAACCCTTCATGCCATGTGTCACCAAACATGCCAGTCAACCGCAAAACAATCAATCCAGCACTCGCAGCGCACGCAGCGCCGACCGCGGCGGTTTGTAGCCAGAAGCAACTCAGGTGTCGACGTCTGTCGCCCCAATCAAACTCAGGATCATAGGGAAGCGATGAAGATCGTCAACCACCATCAGAGACCGAGGATGTCGATGAAGAAGACAATCCAGCGTACATGAGGTCAGGCGATCCCGAAGAGAAAACGGGCCGCGCTATACTCGGATGTGGATTGCCGAGTCGTTGGTATCCTCTGGTGCGCCAGTCCCGATATTGCCAAGTATAAAAGGACGCATAGGAGACCGGCTGGATGAAGGCATCCAAAGTGGTGCCTCCCGTGCTGTCACGAGGCCAATACACTTCAAAGTGGTAGAACCTGCGCCATTCCCAATAGCTGAATGTGTCAGACGGAGCCGGTCCCAAGGTGGAGTCCGCGACAGGTTGCCACGGACCTGGTTTGTAAACCCGAATCCACTCAACATGCGCATTTCCAGCAGCATTCACTATATCGTCTCGAAGTAGTGCGGAACGGGCCACCTCTCAGTGATCGTCGAATTGAACATGATATCCGAACCAATGGCGGTGAGACAACGCAAGGCTCATGAAACCGAGAAGTCTGCGAGATAAAACGCGGGCCGCCATGCTAACCACGGCATGGTGATTTTCAAAGGCGCACACGGCTGCACGGAAAAACATGAATAAAGGCACTCAATCAAAAGGCCGCTGGCAGAGCACTCACGATGCAAGACTCAACAAGCGCAAGGTTTTACACAACATTCAGTCAAAGCATCAATGAGACTCGTTCCAATCGAAATTAGGGTCATAGCCCGGCGGGGGAGAAGGGTCACGCCACGCGCCGTCAGGAACTGAAGACGCCGATGAGGACGACACACCACCAGGCACGAAATCTGTCGATCCAATGTATGGACGTGGGCCACCAAGGCGTTGATAACCTTGCGTATGCCAATCACGGAATTCCCACACGTACTAGGACGCATAGGAGACAGGCGTGACATTCGGATCCGCAGCGGTGCCTCTGGTGCTGTCACAGGGTAAGTACACGTCAAAGTGGTATACCCTGCGCCACTCCCGATACGTGGAGGTGCGGTCCGGGGTTGGGCCCAAGGTCGATGCAGCCACAGGCTGCCACGTGCCCGGTGTGCAAACCCGAATCCATTCCAGGCCTCTCTCAATGTGGTACTCAAAGTAGCGCGGCAACATGACAACCGAATGAGTCGCCAAATTACTATTACAAGGGCAAGCGAAGCCAAGGGATCTGCGGTGTAACAATCATGCCATGACCGACATGCACGCCATGCCTAATCAGCAAGCAATGCAATGCATAACAACTTTTCCAAACTGAAGACTGGACGAATCAACAAAGTCTGTGGTGTACTGCGGCAATGATTCACCGCCGCTGATGACGCGCGCATCTGCAATGGAAATGTCCTGGTTGACGTCGCACACAGGGGGAAAGACATTTCCGTCCATGATGTAGGAAGGCATGGCAGTAATGCTTGCATTTTGTAGTTCTGGACCGTGTTGCACGAGTAGCCCTTTTCGAAGTGAACACAGTGAAGGGCCGCCGAGAATAACGCTCAGCAGAGGTTGACGTTGTTCGAGTGCGTTTCGGGGAACGCGTGAGACTGCGGAGATCGTCAGCACGGGATTAACAGCTCTGCAAACTGAGCGTCGTGTGCGCTCAGAGACCATAGTAGCCGGGAATGACTGTCCTCGGGGAGAAGGGGTAGAGGAAGTTCGCAATGAGGGCATGAACTGTGGATGAAGAGTCATCGGTGGCGGTGGTGGTGGTGGAGGAGGAGGAGGAAGTAGTAGCAATTGTGGTGGAGGTGGAGGTGGTGCCGTCAATCGAAATGGTCTGTCGAGCAATGTGCCGGCCGGGTAGTTTGGTCCGTGATACTGTAACCACGTCGGCTGCGCTCCATGGGTCCAAGTTATGAATGTCTGCACATTTTGCTCCAGCACGATTTGAACACTCATGTCCGCAAGACAAGGCAAGACAACTACAAGGTCAACGCAATGCACCACCACTCGAAAGGAATTTTGACGGCTCCAATATTGCAAAGTCATCTAACCGCGAGCCTCAAGTCGCTGGTAGACCTTCCATGCCTGCTTGACTTCCTCGATGGGTTTCTGAAGGAAACGGGCGATAGTCTTGTAGGTGGGCCTGGAATCCTTGTCCTTTTTGCGTCTGACCATCTCATCCAGCTCACCCTGTGTCCATGCCGTGAATGGTTCGAGAAATTCATTGCGGAGGGCAATAGTGAATTCCTGTAGAAGTTCACAAGGTCCATGGACCACCGTCGGCGATGGACGGAACGATGAAGCACCGGGATGTGGACGGACTGAACCGTCCGAAT